TAAGTAATGGATTTTTTGAGTCGAATATATAATTTATTTTAATTATTAACAAAAGTTGAAAGATAGTAAGTTTTTAAGTACGCCGATGAAAATTCTGAATTTTTTAAACAGGCAAAATAAATAATATAAAGAGGTTAAAGGGGTAACCCAATAAGGATTAACCTTCGTTGTTGGTTGGAAATAGCTTTATTCATATTAAAATTGTTTTCAAATTGATTTTTGTTTTATGAACACCCGTAAGAGATAGGGAGTATTAGTTGGAAGCGTGAGAGAACCGTCCTTGGCGGAGGAAGAAAGACAAGATTGGGACCCGCAACAGCAGCACCATCTCCCACTTGCTTCACCCTCGTTTATGTGATGCTTAACTTTAAATAAATAATATCTATGTTTTATTTTAATCATTAAATTATGATTATAACAACAACTAAATTAGAATTTTGTGGTGGAGGTAGTAACTTAATCCCATACGGTCAACTTACATAAACCACGGTTAATGTCAGCCCCTAATGACAAGATCCCCAAATTCAAAAGCAAAAAGTGTCATGCTTCCATCTTACATCGGCTAACCCCATCCACACACTCTATTCTATTCTTTTATAACAACAGTTTATGATTTTCGGATTTTACTCCTCTTACTTAAGTTTTAATATTTCTCAAAATAAACAAACCTTTAGTTTTACATTAAGGATTCCAAAATGAATCTATCATGATAAACCGATCCAATTTTTCATAGTTAAATTATTAATAAGTGCAGATATAAAAGTACTTGTGATATTTGACAATTGATTATATTAATTATTTTTATTAGTTTATGGATAATTCTAAAATAATGGATTACATGAAATAATCAATTACTAGATATATTTATTTTATAATATTCATATACGCTAAGCAACACAAGATATATGCGAGTATGATAATTTTTCTTATAAGACAAGTGCAAGCAGGTTTGATTCTTTAGAGTGTGTGGTACACGGTGGTTGAATGAATATTCGCCCCTACCTAGCTCATTCATGCAAAAATAAAATTATAAAAGTAAAATATTCGAAATTGCTCGAAATGTCTAAAATCTTATTAAAACAGTCATGTGTTAATTTTCAAATATTATTATAGATATTTGAAAACAAGTCAAATATATATAATAAAAACCATTTAATTTTGAACAAATCTTTAATATACTACCATAAAATACGTGCTTACGTTGGTTTGCATTTTCAAGCATTTTTATATTAAAAATAAAGTTTAGAAAAATTATATATATCAGTCTTTTTAATTAACTCTCCATACGTCACACACACTCTCTCCTTCTCTCTGTTTTTTTTTTTGAATTGATACGTCTAGTGTTAACGTTTGGATTCTGTTAAACAAACATGTTGACATAATTATTCTTCAAGACCGAGTTGATACAACACCTTTCAGCAACGTATTCCCACGCGCCGTGAGCGGGTCTCTGTGCTCTACTCTCTTCAAAGTCCATATCATTATTCATTAGTGGCCTAAAAAGCGAAGAGGTGTGGGATTTATATAAAAGTTATTTTATAACAAATCATACAAAAATAATAGTATATAAAATATGAAAAATAATATAATTAAAATGCGAGATAAAGTACATATTGAAAAAAATAGAACTAATTTTAGTATAAAACCAAAATGTTAATTATTTTTCTTAATTTCTGCTCGATGACGTTAAAATGATAATTAAAAAAACAGATGGAGTAAACTTTTTTTTTTGGGGATTAGAAGTTAATAAATTTCCTTTTTAATCAGTAAAACACGCAAATCTAACGTACAAAATATTTAGTCAATGATGGAATTCATCTGCACAACGAGAAACCGCGTTCGGTGTTTGATTGTGTGGAACGTGCCGGAGATAGAGGCTGGAAGAGTCGGATAGTACTGCACAACGACAATAATTTTGGAAGAAGAAAGCGATCGATACGGTTGAAGCTTGTCAAGAAACATGACAAAGATCGAAATGAAAATGGCAACAGAAAAAGTATTTAAGTTTAGGCATGTCAGGTTTTAGATAATTTTTTTATATTTATTGATAACATAAAAGTATCATTTTGTTTTTGTTACTGAAAACAAGATACTTCAAACCTTATGCTTGATATCTTTCGTGTGTGTTATATCTTAAATAGTTATTTAAGTAATCCATATGTTATGCTAGAATTCCTTGATGTCCAGCTATATGATTAGTTCCCCTGCTGACGAAACTGTTGTTGGATTTAATTTTCTACCCGATCAATTTAGTTGTTCTATTTGTATTGAAGTGAAGACTAAGATTAATAGATTATGGCGTGCTGTGATACGATTTATGTTTCTATTTGACCAAAATTAGCAATCTTTAATCTCTTGCTATCCATCTGTATATTGTTGTAAGGTTGGACGTTTCGTGATTATAATCTTGCCCTAATTTGTGACTCATGAAGAAGGCTAATAATATATTCATGAGTTTGCCAAAAGTATATTCTGTGGTGAATTGTCATTTGTCAACAAGAAGGGTATCCAATCGTGTAATGAAAATAAATAGAGGGCTTATCGACTATAGGCGTTGTTGTGGTAGTTGAGTTCTCATCGATTTAGGTAGAAACCCTCAGTTAATTAGACTTTTTTCAGTATTGGCACTTCTTAAGAAAAAAAACTTATGCTTTTATATTTATTATAATTTTTGTATTCAAAAACATTAAAATATATTTACAATTTTAAATTAACGCTTTATAATTATCAAAAAGAAATAGCATTAGTATATAATACACCAAATCATCAACGTATTAATCCTGCAATATTTATGATCATTAATTACTTTTTTATAGTGCTAGCAACAATACAGTACAAGAAAAGTCTAATAAGTTGCTAAACACTGTCTCTTTTTTTCATTTTTATTTTGACGTTTTTAATCGTCTGTATATCAAAATTATAAAATGCTTTTAGAACACTACCATTAAATTAAAAGGGTTCTTTCATCAATATTAGCCCTTACAACAAAATTCACTGAGGTATTGTGACACGGTCTTTGTATTATAGGATAGATGTGTAATTGCAAAAGAAATATATGATTTTTATTAGTGATTTCTATTTTCAACTGCTAGTACACACTGCAAAAAAAATTTAATTTGTTAATAAGAAAAACTGATCAGATATTTTTATCAATCTACCATTTATCTAATGAAATTTAAATTTCTAATAAAGTTTTAAAAATTTATATTAACAAATAATATAATATATTTTCATTTATAAATTAATAGTATGTATTAACATTTTATATTAATAAAAGTATTTATAAGTATAATATTATATTTTAAGTACAAATCGAAAATGTTATATTAATAATTAAATTTTTAAAAAATGATATTAATAAATATTAGTTTAATTAAAATTTTTAATAAAAGAAAAATTATAATAAAAAAATAAGTTTACCAAAACTATTGAAATCCTTTCTCAATATCTAATTTTTAGGTAATTCTCTTTATTAGTAACTGGTTTATGACTTTGCATGGAGATTATAAAAACTTAATAAATAAAATTATTTTCTGATTAAAAGGGTCTTTAAGGAAAAAAAATGTATAACCTTAGCAACTCCTTAGTTAATTAAAATAGGTTTTTTTATTAACAATTTAAAACTACTATATAAGTACTTCGTTATTGTTAATGTTTATATAATTAATAGTTCAAAAAACTATTAATGTCAAACTTTTAAAATTACTATTAGAGTCTTTCTCTATAGTAGTTTTATCTTTCTCTCCTTCCTCTTCTCTTTTCTTCCTTAATTTGTTAGCCTCCAAGTATTTTTTTCTCTCTCTTCCTTCATACTTCTAAATAAGATCTCACTTATATCTAAAAATATAATATATATATATATATATATATATATATAATTATTAAAACTTTCTATAAAAAATTATTAAAATATTAACTGTTAATTTTGTTTTTGTTAATGATTATAATATTGTATATCATTATTTAAAATGTTATTCTTTAACTCTATTAAAACCCAAGTCCTACATCGCGTTTCATTAATTAGCATGTAAAAAAATGAATGATCAGAATTAGTATTGTCTTGACACGCGTAAAAATCATATAAATCCTTGTTATTCTTTGCTATCATGTTTTTTAAGCAGAGAAAAGAAAACGAAAAAGTAGTAGCTTCAGAACCGACAAAGGAAACTTGGATTGAATACTTGGGTAATGGGCATCTATCTATCCATCCAAATCTATCTTTTGAATATTTATAATTAATTAATGCTTTATGACATACTTATATGAGTACAGTAATATCCAATAATCAATTTAGGATCGCGTAGCAGGGACGCTCCGGGAATAGGAGTGACGAATACTCGCAACCTATTCTTCCAATTCCGCATCGTCCTTTCGAATAAGAAAGCGTATTAAAGATTGATTTTCTCAACCAATTATTATTTTATCAACATTATTTAAACTTTTGTTTGTCCAAACAAATGACTGCGTTTTAGGTCTTTGTCTCCTTCTCTCTCTCTCTCTCTCTCTCTCTCTCTCTCTCTCTCTCTCTCTCTCTCTCACTGCCTTCCATTTGCATAGGTTCTTCTCTTTGCTCTTTCTTTTCCTTCTCCTTCTCCTTCCTTTTCTTTCTCTGCACTCCATCCACCGCCGCTCCACTTTGTCTTCGTATTATCCTCTTACTTTCTCAAATCCATTCCATATCTGTTTATCAATTCAACTACTCACAACACAAGCTACCTCCTTTCTTTTCTCACCCTCTCTATCCTTTTTTCCTTTCCCATATCATTTTTATTTCCCTATTTATATTATCTTATATGTACACAACAACACACTACTTCCCTTAAAATAACCATAAACAAAAGCAAAGGGAAAAGAACAGTTTTTAAAGCGAACTCGCTCGTAGTATATTTACTATTTATTAATATCAACACCCCCCAAAAAATAAACTATATATTTATTTATTTTTCTTGTTTTCTTTGAACAATAAAAATTGTATATCTCTCTCTTCCTTTGATGTGCCTATGGCTGGTTTGGATTTAGGCACAGCATCACGCTTTGTTCAAAATCTACACAGACCAGATTTCAACCTTCAGCAGCAGCAACAGCAACAACAACAAGCCGAATCCGAGGAAGACGCGAAGCAACCAGACCCGTTTTCCGGCGAAGATGGACCCCACCTAGCTAGCCCCGGTGACATCGTCGGTCGCCGGCCACGTGGACGCCCGCCGGGATCCAAGAACAAGCCGAAGCCGCCGGTGATCATAACGAGAGAGAGTGCCAACACGCTCCGCGCTCACATCCTCGAAGTCGGCAACGGCTGCGACGTGTTCGACAGTGTCGCCACCTACGCGCGGCGGCGCCAGCGCGGGATCTGTATTCTCAGCGGAAGCGGGACCGTCACCAATGTCACCTTGCGGCAGCCGGCGTCTGCGGGAGCCGTAGTCACACTTCACGGAAGGTTCGAGATACTATCTCTCACCGGATCTTTCCTTCCTCCGCCGGCACCGCCGGGCGCCACCAGTCTTACCATATATCTCGCCGGAGGACAGGGACAAGTGGTGGGTGGGAGTGTGGTGGGTGAGTTGACCGCTGCTGGACCCGTGATTGTGATCGCAGCTTCGTTCACGAACGTGGCTTATGAGCGGTTACCTTTGGAGGAGGAAGAACAAGTTCAGCTGCAGCCACAGGGGGTTGGTGGTGGTGGTGGAGCTGTAGGGAATAATAACCCTTTTCCTGACCCTTCTTCAGGATTACCTTTCTTCAATTTTCCACTCTCTATGCAGAATGTTCAGTTGCCTGTTGATGGTTGGGCGGGAAACTCGGCTACACGTTCACCATTTTGATGTGCTTACGTCGATATGGTTTTCATCTTAATCTAATGTTATTGATTGATTGATTGATGTCGCAAGCGATCGAACTGATGAAGATGCTGATCAAACAATTAATTGCAAGCGTTTCGATGAATGGAGGTCAGCGATTTCATGGACTTCTATTTATATATGATGTGCTAGCTGCTGCTTCTTGTTAATTAATTCTCTTTTTCCCTTTTTTTTCTTGTGCGTTAGCTTGGATACGATGTTTTGCGTTTGAGATATGTACTTGTTCAACTTAATTAGTGTACTCACGTCTTACTGGTTTTGATTTTATCTGAGGTTTTTGTCTACCATGTATGTATGATTAGTACTATATATCTTAATTTTTTCCATTTTTCTCATGACATGTTTGAGGGATTCATCTTTTAAACAAGCACTTGCACCAGCCTCATGTTTCAAGGAAGTTATTTTTAGACAGTAGACACGAAGCAATAAGTCCCGATCGATTTGCTAATTAGACATTTCTTCACTCTATTCTGATCATTTTTAATTCCGTCTTTTAGTACTTTCACCCTTCGATATATATATATTTTACATGATCATCAACTTAATTTACTAGTTGGCTTCTATTTTATATACCATCTCGCTCACACAAAAGAGCTATAACTTAATAATATTAAATCGATCTGTTTGTATTTTGTATGTATAAGTATATGTAATTAAATATAGCTAGGGATTTTAAAATAAAATAAGGGTGGGCCATTTTTTGGCGTTGAATTTTTTGATTAATAAACAACTGATATTGCGGTAACTAGATCATCATATATAAAAAGCAAGGGTTTTTTTTTTTCCACGCTCAACAATCATTCATGTGGATGAATTATAACAGTTTTGCATCGATGACTTTTTATGCATGAGTACTTCTCTAATTTTTGCCTGGAGTGAGCTTAAACTTGATAAACTTTCCTCTGCATAGTCTTGATAAATTTTAATGAAGTCTTGACTACTTATATCCACCTGTACAATACTTTTTTTCTTATTACATCACATCATCTATCATATTTTTCATTACTTGTTCTTATCTCTCATTAGGTGTCTGCACTTAAGAGGCGTATATCAATCTTTCTTTCTTTTTTGATAAACACAAATGATTAACTTCTTAATTGTTGTGGCTAGCAATCATAATTATATGCATGCATCATGCTTCTCCATCGTTTTTGTTGTTGGCTATGGAATTCAAAATCATTTTCCTGCAATGTTATTAAATTATCAAGCTAGTTTAGATTAACTTCTAATTTATAACAACATTTCAATGATATATACAACTCTAGTGTTAAGAATTTTTTTAAGACAATAATGTAAAGCAAGGTTAAGTTTAAAGGTATTCTGTAGGGAATCTAGATGACCAGGTTTTAAAATATTTTAAGTGGGTAAGTTATTATAATTCGTGAAGTTTGATTTATTTTTTTTAAACGAATTCATTTTTTCTCTTATAATGTATAGTTGAAACTTACAACTTTCTTAACATAAGTTCATGGCCAGATTGTACAACGTGCAACATATCAGATCGAGGGATAAATTGGAGCCAGTTCTGCTGGTTACCAGTTCCAATTTATGTTGAAATATTTAAACTGAATAAGAAAAAAGAGTCATTTCTGCCTGCTGGCATTTACCCAAACGGAAAACTTCCATCATCTTATGGTGATGAAATCACACTCCAAACATAACAAAATTGCTATATATCATTTAGGTGGGCAATGGGGAAGTGTTTTAACCAGACAGTGCTTAAGGGATAGTTATTAACATTACATTGCCCTCCACATATGAAAACGGCTACCCCGATCCATTTGGTTAAGTTGTTTACTTAATTATAATTACAAAAGGTTAATAAAAAACGCTCGCGCATGCTAGTTGTGAGAGATAATTGTAAACTGTGGAATTGATTGCATTTTAAGCCCTTTTTTCGGCCGGAATAATTGTATTTACAAATTATGACCTCATTTTTTAGGAGCTTGAAGGGGTTAATTAGAAATTGAACCTAATTAATTATATTTTATCTGCAGATGAGCGAATTATAAGTGTAGGTTCGATTAGGTAGCTAGGTTTCCGGCGCTCCCGACTTAAATATTACAAAGATGTTGTGTCAAATGATCACTTTAATTAATTATTCTCCACTACAAAGTGCCTTGCGTTTCTGATGGAGAAAGTCCTGGCTTTGCGCTCACAGAGTGAAGCCATACCACGCTTTGTTCAAACAAGTTGTAACGCCGCTTTGTCCTCTAAGAATTGCATTTGATTCCATGAAGCACTTCGCCTCAACTATATGCTTCCAATATATTAGTTTGCCCAGCCCAACCACTCTCTAGATAGCCATAGAACTACACACGTGTCAAGTTACCTTGGGTATTGCCTTTTATAATATTAAAAATATGGTTACAAGTGAAAAAGAGTGATGTCCTATATTAACCAAAATGATAGTAATATATTTTCTGCCATTCAGAAACTGCTAGAATGATCTCAAATAACAATATATACAAGCAAAAGCTATCGTCTCATTTCCCTACCTATATATTCAACTTTACTCCTTGAAAATCAATCTAATTAGCAATATAATTTGATTCAATTCTGAAAATAAAGCTTCTTAGGTGTACATGTACGCATATCCTCTCAGAAAGGTATATATTATCCATTTCGATGATTTTTTCATGGCAATTCCCTTCTTTAATTAATTATATACTTCTTGGAATTATTGGCTGAAACATAACATATGATACCAACTAGCTGTTTTCCGTAGCTATTTTTAACCGTTGTTCTTCTATACACCTGGAAGCCTAACTAGTTGTATTGCGAATACCAACAAATTGAAATGAACTCTCTCCATCATTTAAAGCTTTTGCTTAAGAAAAAAATTTGTTTTTCCTTCATAGTGTTCCTGTCTAACAAGCAAAACAAATATATCACTTACAAAATCAGGCAATGTAAATGTAATGTAGCAGTTGCTGATGATTTAATTGAGAGGTGAGTCTGTATATACCCATATGTGTTAACTTCTGATAGCTTTACTATTTTATTTATATATGACATTTTAATTTAACTTCTGAATGTCTTTATAAATTGAAATTTGGCAAACTACAAAAGTTACTTTCGATAGTATTGACAGAATCCTGACCAAATTATTACTATTTGTTATTTTTAATTACTATGCAGACAATTTTTTTTTTAAATGATGATTTGAAAATGAACGTGTCTATGTTCCATTAAATCATTAAATCGATCAATGAAATATATTTTAAATGAAATAAGCATGGATACATTATTTTTATTTATTTTAAAAACAATTTTAAATGAATCTTATGTTAAATTGTAATAACTTTTATCTTAGTATTGGGGAAGGGGGCAATTTTAAGTTTAATTGTTACAGTAAATTAATTTCAGTATACCATTCTCCAGTAAAATAATATGATATGCGCATATGTTTTTTACTATTTCATCTTTCTTTTTAAAATTTTCTCATCAAAGTGTAAATAATTATGTTTATGCCATATTTTTTTTTGTAGTTGTTGTAACTTTAAATTATTTAGTTATCCAACGAGAACTGTTCAGATTTGTTTTTTTTTTTTAAATAAATGAATGATATTAAAAAGTTATTAATCGTAAAGTATAGTTCATTGATGCAAGAATTAATCCGACAAAAAATAATAGATTTATCTTAAAGAAACATATTATTATTTAATTTGTGAAATATACATTAATTATAATACTGTGCTAAAAGTTAACAACAAAGCCGAGAATATACAGAATTATACATGGTATAGACACCTAAAAAGTAGTTGGGTAAAAGATCCCAGCTTTCTATCAATTAACATAAATAAATTGGCGCAAATGTGATTAATAATTAAGTAACAAAATAGATAATAAAGTTTGAATTAAAGAATCAAACTGACTAAGTTGTGAATGCAATATAATAATTCATTCTAATGCTTACACCCATTTGTTTCAAAGCTGTCAACTTCTTTTATATACTTTGATATGATAAGACCATATAGAGCAATTGAATTTTATATTTCCTAAAGAAATCATAGTTTTGTGTTGGTATTTTATTATATAGTCATTAAACATAACCACGTTTTCCAGAAGTGTTTAAATAAATTTAGTGTTGTCGTTATGCGGCCATGATGGATGAGGCCGAAGTGATAATGATGTCAAAGTACTACGGAGTAGCTTTGAGTTTATTAATCAAACATCAAATTTAAAACGGCATAAGTATTATTAAAATTTAAGTCATGATGAACATTTATGTTGATTCCCATATATGTGACCACATGAGCGTGAGACTTCATGATTTTTAGTTTATAATATTTTGGTGATGATGCTGTCCTAACTCCAAAAGGTGTTAGAGATTAAGTTGATTAACTTATATATTATATCCGGAAAAAATATGGTTGGTAGTAATCATATGTATATTTGAAGTAATATATAATATAGCAGCCCATAGTTTCAGGAAGATCAGCAAAAAAATGTTGAAATTATTTAAACATTAAATCGTGTACGATTTTTGTTGTCAGGATATGTGTGGGTGTGATTTGTTAATAAATAGAAGTCTGTCAAGGCAAGGTTCTACATTTGATATTTAGACCTTGTTGGTAGATCATGCATTAATTTTTTAAGTAATGGCAATTGGTATTTAAGCTTTGATTGTACACCGAAAAAGTTTTGTCAGAGAACGTTTTACCTGTTTTGATAAAAAAAAAAATTCACTTAATTTAGAAATGATTACTCTCTATTCATTTATAAATACCCTTTAGGTATAAAAAAAATTATGTTTGATTTAAGTAATGAAAGAAATTGTAAAATCATTTGAGCAAATTGAAGGAAGATAATACATAGAAATATATTGATTATGCACAGTTATTACTCCAATGTTAAATATTTCAATGACAATTTAAAGCATTATTTAATATTTGCAAACACCCATTAACTATCGAAATATATATATATTCACACAAATCATATAACCTTACGAATGTATAACTTACAATTGATGATAAGAAAAAATTGTTATAAATATATTTAAATGTGAATAATATTGTAGAAATATAAATTAAAAACATGTTAAATCATAGAAAAATATATACGATTTATAAAAATAATTCAATTTTAAATTTTAATAAAAAATATGAAATGAGTTAAGTATGAAGTACATTATTTTTTTTTAAAAAAAAAGAGTTTAAGTTGATTTTAAAAAAAATTACTTTACTTTAATATATAAAAATAAATTGCTTGAAAATACTTGACACATACAATCAATATTTACGAGACCTTGAAAAATTACTATTTAACAAAATAAATAAAACAAATAAGAAATTGATTAAGTAAAGTAAGCAAAATTTTATTATAACTTACAAGAAGTTAAAATTATATTTTTTGTATCTTAATATTTCTATGTTTTAGGATGTGCAAATCTCAAATTTAGTAGAATTGAAGAGGATTTAAAGTATATAACTATAGTAGATATCTTTATTAGTATCAAGGCTTTTGATTAATGTTTAAAAACAAAACTATTAAAGCTTAGACTCAAAATAGTTAATATCATACTAATGTAAAAATTCCATACTTATTATAACAAAACCATGAAGGTTCCATACTTGTTATAACACTGTATATTCAATTTTACTCCTCTTGTTTTCATAATTAAGTAATTTTCATCCTTTCTTTATGTTGCAATCCAATTTCTAACAGCAATCATATGATCTTTTGCCAGAATTTGCCATTGTTGACGTGCTCTTCCTCTCTCCTTTACCCGAATTCTGTCGTTGGCAACCGAGCCTCTTCTTACTCGTTTCCCTTGGTCGACCTTCTCTTCTTCTTCCTCCTCTATCATTGCCAACAACCACCATGCATTTTCTATTTTCCCTGCTCTCCTTCCCAAACTTAATATAATGGCCTTTCTTTTGTCAACCCAACTTCTTTATTGACATGCTGAAAATAAGGCCCAATGACAATACAGCACAACGTTAATCTGACCAAATGACAATCTTCAAGTTCTAAAATTTGATATCTCGAAGAGCCCATTACCCAAATCTGCAAGTAATGTAATAGGAATTGATGGATTAAAAGATAAGGCCCAATTTGGAAGCCCTTGAAACGTTCTGTGCATGCTCGTACTCCCCTCTTAATGATCTGAATCAACTGATTGTCAAGAAAATGGGCCTCAATTACAAAATGGGCCCTGCTTGTCCACATTGCTTCCACGGAGTTTTCCACCTTTCTTTTTTCACATCATTTAAGAAAATTTTATAATTTTTAAAAAAAATATCCTTCACCATGATAAAATAAGTTTTTTCAATTTTTTTATTTTTAATTTTAGTACATAAATTTATTTTCAAAAATATTTAATAATTCTGAAAATTAATTTTGAAAGCATGAAAAACCAATTTCTGGAAATGTAAAATCTTAATTCTTGAAACTTATTTATGGAAATAGAAAATATTAATTATGGAAACTCATTTCCAAAAAGAGTTAATAATTCCATAAATTAATTTAGAAGTTTAAAATCTTGATTCCAGAAACTAATTTCCAGTTAATAATTCTGAAAATTATTTTTTAAAAATGTGAAAAAATAAATTTGAAAATTAATATAATTTCAAATATTCATTTTTAGAAGTCTAGAATCTTAATTCTAGAAACTTATTTTTTTTAAAAGAATAATAATATTAAAATTAATTTCCAAAATGTAAAATTTTATGTTAAAAAACTTATTGTAAAAAAAATAAAATCAAAGTTGACAGGTCAACGACGAAGAAGTCATTTTTAACAATATCTTAAATTTTTTTTTATAATACATCCAATGCGATTGACATATCTAAAAGAGTAAAGATGCTTAGAATATAAATGAAGAAAGTGGTGATAAAAAAAACAAGAATAGTAAAGAAGAAGAAAAAGTTATGTAATAAAGATGAAAAGTAAAAATAAAAATAAAATTCTAATGTTTAAAATAAAAATAAAAATATTATAAATCATTTAATTTTAGAAAGTATTTTTACTTTTTATTTGATAATTTAAATTTTTGTCAGAGATATTTTAAGAGAAAAATTATGATGGTGGAAAAAAGGGGGGGGGGGGGGGGGAGTGCAAAAAGCAAAGCCCTTTTACTTTCCAACGTTTAGCTCAAAAGATAAAAAGCATCTAGTTTACTTCCTTTTTCGATTGTAGGCTTGCTTGTAGGAAAAATGTAAACAAAGGTAGGGGCTTTTTCATTCTTGACTGGTCACCTACAATTTTTGGTGCCTTTTGGACACCACAGAAATTTTAGCTACTTTGATGCTTTACAGATCCAAGTTGAAATTTTCTTTAGTACAAATTTTGTTAATCAAGGGTTCGGTTCGTTTCAATCCTTTTCATCTTACCTTTTTTCTCACTGGAGCGTGAATTTGACAAGATCGATGACATCTAAACATATTAAGAACTGGAATTGTTCACTCCATCCCTCTCATCTCATGCCATTTTGCATTTGGGAATAAAAGCCTTTAGAAAAGTCAGTAACTATAATTATAATTAACATTTATGCTATAAAACATGTCAACGCGTCTCGACAGACACGTTTCAACTAACTAATCAACATTTATAAAGAAGGATTAGAAGCAAGGAAACCTCGAAGAACACCTACACCCAGTACCATAAGTATCAACACTTCGATTTTGACCAACGTGGTTACGTGAGATTTTACCCTCTGATTCTTCAAGTCTAAACCCCAACCACTTGATGTGTACCTGAATTGGTAAACTAGTGCCGCTCAAGATAAATAAAATGAAGGGGAGGGGAACAATTAATCATCGAACCTAGTTGCACTTTCTTGTGCAATTAGACTATTTGAACGTAGATTAGATAAGAAAAGTAGGATAAAGAGGAAGTAACGTTTATTATATTTTTCAGAAGTTCATAACTAAACAAGCTTTACATTTCCCTTGAAGATGTCAACAATGAATGTAGGAACAATACTTTCATAAATTAGGCTTAGACATGTCATAATGTTTACAATTAATTCGGCTCATGGGCTGCTTCATATCATAGGGAATTCCAGTCAGGCATAAGATCTGTTGGAAAAGAGAAGAAGAGAGGCAACAGAAATTAACATATACCAAGCACCATCTTTGTATATTAATATAACTATATCGGTACGTGACTCAAGTCTAATTTGTGAAACAGAGTACCTCAAATTTAGACGAGTATTAGTATGATTACATATCCTGAGCATAGAAGTCAATAATCTCCTTCAAATTAAGTTGGAACAAAGAAGAAGCATCATTGTGCATGAGCCACAACATGTGCTCGAACAAAATATCATCGACATCCACAAAAATCACTCTCCGCTGGCTGGACGTGAAATGGAAGTGGTTCTTCTCCGCTGAATCCTTCTTCATAGAGATATCCATCAAAACCCGAAAAGGGTTCTCTTGTAATATAAAAGGGTCCACGAGGAACACCCTCTTCTCTTTTCCCACCACCACCGTCACGGGGTTGTCGGATTCTCTGTCTTTGGGCAGAGGCATGTAACCCAGCCGAGAACCCGTGGAACGCCGCCGGATCAATGAAACTGGCACCACCAAACAATCCATTGATGCAAGAGAAGATCGAGGTTTAAGGTGAAGAAGATGGTTGAATCTATGTTTGTGTTTTTCTCTAGAACAGAACCTGCCACGACCCTTAATTGTTAGGTAATATAAATGGCATGGCATATTAATGGATATAAAGTTTTGTGGGAAGGGTTATAATGTAATCACAATAGAAAACATAAAATATTTGTTTAATTGTTAATATTTAGGTGACCATGTTGAAAAGAAAGGGTTACTTTGGATGCATATTTGGGTGATGTCTTGCATTCTGCAAATGGGAAGTAGCCGTTGGACAAAGAATCTCACTACCACGGCTACGTTCCCTGGGATGCGCGTCGGCGCGTGAGAATTTTTAACTCTTGATCCTGCGAGCGTGTGATACAATTGAGGTTGAGTGGCGCGTGGCTAAAGTTAGGTTTGTGCCGACTTTGGTCAACACATTGGGTTAGGCTCCACTCGCACGCGCATGTTCCACGTATCTTAAGGACACGATGTTTACATCGTTAGTAAGCGGCTTCTGTCATTTGTTCTAATTTTATTACAAATATAAAAGCTACCCAATAAATGATGCCATGATACCCAAAAAGAAAAAAAAAAAAAAATTTTATTCTTTTAAAAATGAGAGTATTTTTTAGAATTATTATTTTTAATTATGTTATGTATTTTTTCCTGCATCAAATATTTAACTTTTAAATGTAATTTTAATTACATTTTGATTTTTAATTTTTATATTTTTATATTTTTTAATTTTAAAAGTTTTATCTTTTAAATTTTAATTTTATTGAATATAATAAAATATTTATTTTAAACAAAATATAAAATTATAAAATAATTGTACATTATATCTTTAATTTTTATTTTGAATTAATTATACTCTTGAAAATTTATTAATTTTAAATAAACCATATGACATCTGAAAGCGAAATTTCGATTTAAAACATTTGAAATCCGAAAGTATAAAAAATAAAGAGGAGCTATTTGTCGTTTCATCCATCCGAATAACTAAGTAGTCTGTGGAGAAATGTATGGGCAGCTTAATTTTAAAAAATTGTATTTACTTATGAAATTTAATTAATCGTTTTAAAGTATATTATTATTAAAAATTATAACATTGATAACCCAACAAAAATAGATAACAAGACAATAAACGAAGAAAGTACATTTAATAACGATACAGCATAGTTTATTATTGTTGTTATTATTTTAAAATGACTGGCATATAATGATCAATTCAGATCAAGTCAACTGTTTGCCATAAAATCTAGTTTTCTGTACATAACAAGAGTGATTATCAAATACATTCAGAACAACTAGTAATTGGACGACATACTTATTTAAATACGAAATAAAATGCAAAATGCTAATCATTAATGATAACGTTATAATGTTATTGTTGTTTGTTTTTGGTTCGTTGATTTGTAGAAAAACAATGCATTGACATGTGTATACATAATCAGTAATTATGAAAGAATTAATTAATGAATGAAAGCGAAGACTTGAAGTGATAAGAGTTGGTAGCAAAATTAGATAAATGTGTTCTTAGAGTGTGGTGGTACCATTTGGTTTGTCGGTGATTAAAATTTGTCAAACTGTTTGATATGTCAATTGCGCGTATTACTGTGCATTCATTCATCCACTTCAATAAATGTTTTACAAGTTTTATTAACGGAGGAGAATAAATTTAAAAAAATTTATATTTGATCTAAACTTTTTATCTACCTTATGTATTTATTATACTATCGTTAGATGGTAGATAAATAAAAATTTAAATTGACTTATATCACTAATAGTATAAAAAAATATTAAATATAAGTTAAATAAAAAATTAAAATTAAAAATAAGAATTTTTATATTTATATTAGTGTAATAAAAAAAAATTTATTATTATTTCAATAAAAATTTTAAAACCTAAAAAATGATTAATCATAAAATTATATTCTAAAAGTTATGCATCTGTAGCTCAAATTAATTTCTATATCTTTCCATAATCAATCAATATACCCAACTGCACACTGTCATTTGAACGTGATTTCGGCCACATAAAGTGGTGGAGATTTTCATTTTTATCCACACATCAAGCACAGATCAGGAGTTATCAAACTATGCCAATTGTGTACCTATGTGTGCAGTGTATATTTTATATTTATATTTGAATTTCTGCTCAAAATTTTTGCATTAGATTGAGGTAAACGTAGATTTTTTGTAAATATGTTTTTAAATTTGTAGGCCTTTTAGAGATAAATGTTAAATCATTTTTTTAATTAATTCTAATATTTTATTATATTTATAATTTTAATAAAAATTTATCATACATAAAATTTTATTATTTATTTTTAACGTTAAATTAATGATTAGCGATGTCAACTGACATTTATGTTACATGATCAATGTCACACAATTATAAATATTTATATGATCCAATGACATTGTTAAAGAAATAGTACGTATATGTTTGTTTTTTTCAGTTTGTCCTGTTATTTGATAACTACTGTATATATATACATCCATCAACCTGTCTAAAAATAGCAATTATCTAATATAAAGCAATATACAATTATAGCAGCAACTACCTAATATAAATAATTATAGCAAATCTGTCCTAACAATTTGCTATTCGTGATGACAGCAATATTATCCTAACAGATCAATCGGATCAATGAGGATGATATGATTGAATATGCATCTTATAGGTGAGTGATTTGCTCAATACCCTCCTCAAGTTGGAGAGTGAAAATTATGAACACCCAACTTGGTTAACAGACAGTTAAATTGTCGATGCCCAAGGGATTTAGTGAAAATATCTGCAGGTTGAGTGTGTGGGGGACATAAGAAGGAAGAATCAGATTCTAAGTAATTGCATTGCGAATAAGATGGCAATAAACTTCTATGTGTTTAGTTCGTTCGTGGAAGACTGGATTGTTTGCAATGTGTAGTGCGGCCTGACTATCACATGAGAGGTGCACCGGTTGTGTTATAGATATTCCGAGATCAGAGAGGAGTGCCTTTAACCATTGAAATTCACAAGTTGTATTGGCCATGGAGCGATATTCAGCCTCAGCTGAGGAGCGAGATACCATGTGTTGCTTTTTTGTCTTTCATGAAACCGAAGAACTTCCAAGATGAATAATCCAACTCGTGATGGATCTGCGAGTTAGTGGGTAGCTTGCCCAATCAGAGTCATATCAGCTGCTAAAAGTAAGATCATTGTCTCGTTTCATTAAAATCCCTTGACCAGGTTGAGCTTTGAGATAGCGGACAACTCTCAGAGCAGCTCGCCAGTGTTCTTCCCTGGGTTTCTGCATAAACTGTGAGAGAATATGTACACTATATGATAGTTATAGACGAGTAAAGCACAAATATATCAGTCTGCCGATAAGTCGGCAATACTGACTGGGATCAGCGAGGATTGTTCCTTCTGCCAAAGCCAGTCAATGATTTTCTTCAAGGGGCATTGAGGCTGGCTGTGATCCAAGGAGCCCAGTTTCGGTGATGATGTCTAAGGCATATTTCCGTTGATTTAGGAAGAGGCCAGTCGGAGATCGAGCAACCTCTACTCCCAAAAAATATTTAAGCTTTCCCAAGTCTTTCATATGGAAACACATGTGAAGGTAATCTTTGAACTGTTGAGTGGCAGCAGGATTATTTCCTACAATAACAAGATCATTCACGTAAATTAGAACAACAAGCTGCGTGTTTTGATTACGAAGAATAAACAGGAAATGGTCGGAGGAAGATTGGTGAAATCCATACCATAGAAGAGCATTGGAAAGCTTGGCAAACCAGCAACGTGGAGCTTGGCGCAAACTGTAGAGTGATTTGCGAAGCTTGCACACCATGCCTTGGTCTTGTACGAGGAACCCAGGTGGTAGCTTCATGTACACTTCTTCTGCAAGGTCAGCATGCAAGAATACGTTATGTATGTCCATTTGATGAAGGTCCCATTCCTTAGCAGCAGCAACTGCCAACACAGTGAGTGCGGATGGTAACCATTTTAACAACAGGTGCAAAGGTTTCAGTGAAATCCATCCCCTCAACTTGATGGTTTCCGAGCACAATCAAACGAGCCTTGAAGCATTCAATGTTGTCGTTGGAGTTATATTTTATTCGATAGACCCACTTGCAACCGAGGGCCTTCTTTCCAGGAGGTAGAGTGGTGACATCCCATGTTTTATTATTTTGCAGAGCTTTTATTTCATCCGCCATGGCTGTTTGCCAGTGAGAATCTCGGACAACATGTTTAAAATGCAATGGTTCTTGCTCTGTTTTTAGGGCTGCAAGGAAAGCTCGATGTTGTGGAGAGAAATTATCATAGGCAACATAGTTAGCTAATGCGTAGGACATACCTGAGGATTGCAGTGGAGAAGAGGGGTGCGATGGGCTTTTCTCTTTGATTGCATTAGTTACATATTCTCGGAGGCGCACAGAGGGCTGTTTCAGTCGGTGTCCTCTGCCTAAAGGAGTCTCTGGTTGTTCATTATTGGTTTTGGAGATGGAACTATCATCAAGACTAGCTGGAGATGAGAGAGTTTCTGTATCTGGATGGGTCATCAAGGCATCACCTTCATGCAAGGTTATCTTGCCTTGGGTTGGTGAAGGTCCCCCATGTCGAGTGATGTGAGAGGGTCATAAGACACGCACCTAGGCAAAGTATTAGTGATTGGATCATCTTCAAAGAAAGCCTCTTCAGTAGTATGTGTGATAGATGAGACAGAGCTCGATAAAATGGGTGAAGAGATAAAGGAAAATTCACTTTCCATGAACCTAACATCACGGGAGACAAAAAAACCGTCCTTTTCAAAATCATATAGTTTCCATCCTTTCTTTCCAAAAAGGTACCCTACAAAAAATACATTTTCTACTTCTACTCTCAAATTTGTCTCCTTTTGTGAGCTGATTTTGTGCATAACAAAGGGACTCAAAAACCCTTAGGTGATCATAATCAGGTGTCGTTCCATACACCATTTCATATGGTGTTTTGCCTTGAAGAATAACTGATGGTATTAAATTGATCAGATGTCCAGCAGTTAGGATGCATTCCCCCCTAAATCAGATTGGCAAACTTCCTTGAAATCGCAGTGTTTTTGCTACATTAAGGATGTGTTTGTGTTTTCTTTCTACCCTTCCATTTTGTTGAGGTGTCCCAACACATGATGTTTGGTGTATTATACCATGCTTCATGAAGTAGGACGCCATACATAGGAATTTTGCTCCATTGTCACTGCGCACCTTTTTAATAGTTGTGGCAAATTGTCGTTCAACAAGAGCAAAGAAATTAATGAGATTTTGGGAAACTTCTTTCTTTTTATGCAACAAATATATCCACACTGACCGAGAAATATCATCCACTATTGTTAAAAAATATGAAGTTCCACAAGAGGAGGGAGTTCTATAAGGTCCCCACAAATCACATTGTATTAAATAAAATACAAATGTTGCATGATTATTGCTCAAAAGAAATGTTTCTCTTATTTGTTTTGACCTCTCACAATTTATTCTCAGCTTTACAATTATTTCGTATACCAAGCAACATTTGAATTACTTTGTAGGAAGGGTGTCCCATTCGTTTATGCCAT